CGCCGCTGCGGCAGCGAGCGCTGCGGCAGCACCGCACCTCGGCTGCCTGCGCCAGCCGAAGCGCGGGGCTTGACAATAATTTCTGAAAGATAGAAGCGTGAGATACCCAGCAGGGTGGGCAAGCGGGGAGGCCACGGAAGGGTGAGTGGGTGGCAGGGGCACCCGCAGCATGACAAGGGAAGGGTGTGCATATACGTCCCGAAAGTGCAAGAGTCTTTGCCGTTTCCTCTTTGCTGGCAGAGCTGACAGTGCTGTCTTGTAAAGGCAACGCTGTCAACAGTGTTTATTTCAAGGACCCCTGAGAAAAAAAGCCCCCGTGAGTCCGTATTCTAGAAGAGCCAGTGTGAGCTAACCGGGAGTGCAACAAGGGTCACTGATAATTCCAAGCAGATACTTAAATGGTCGGGGTTAAAGGGGCTGTGCATGGGTATACTTTCGTCATTGGACTATTTCTATGTGTGGTTTGAAGGAGGAGAATACTGGTGTGAATTTCTGAAGGATTTACATGGCTTAGGTCGGAGGGGGTTGATTTAAAAGTGAATGGTGCATGTTGCACTTATTCATCATGTGACACAGGTAGTTCTGAATCATAGTCATCCAGCGGGTGTAAATGCTGGTGTAATGAATAGCAGTTTTAAAGACAACCTGTAAGGAGAGAGATATATTTTAAGGGAATTTTAAATGTCTGCCTCCTTTTAAAAACCTTTTACTTTAGTAGCCAAGACAGATACTTTTCTTGGAGGTTATACAAAGCAATAATTGAAAATTTGTTGGAAAAAGCTACTGTTGCTGTGTATAACACAACTCTTTTGTGCTTTTTTTTTTTTAATCTTGGAGTGTCAAGTCTGAGCAGATACCATTGAAAGCCTCTGAACCACAAGTTTGTAGTTTTTGGATCATAGCAAAGGAAGGTTTGATTCATTTTTAAAATTAGCACCAGGCCTCATTGCTCTGTGCCCTTTGAATGTGTGAAACAAACAATTTGCGAATACAAATTTGCCCAAATGTACATTGCTAAAGTATCAAACCTCCTATTAATTAATCTTTGCTTATAAGTAAGCCAAACTACCCTTTGATGCTTTTTTTTTTCTCCATGGTAGCATGCTCATGACCTCCACTGGGGGTGTGAGCGAACCTTTTGTTGTTTGTGGTTTTTGTCTGTACTGTTTCTATACAATCAAGGTCCTGTGAAAAGGAGGAAGAGGCAGCAGGAGGTAGAAACAAGCTGGGCTATTTTGGACCAATGTCCCATTAAAATGTTCTCCCTCTCCTTAACTCACTCCAAACTTCTATTCAGGCATACACTTTGTATCAGTCTTTAACCTGCACTAAAACCTGTAGGACACTGATACTTTGACATTGTTGGGAAAGAATTGAAGAATCAACCAGGGATGGCTAATATTTCTTGCCTTATTTTATTGCAGAACAGCAGGAATTCAAAGTCTTTAAAGCTCTGGTACTTTGACTCTTTTATGCAGCTGAGATGATGAAATAAAAATGTGTTTGGTAAAGGAATTCAAATTAGCACTGGGTCACATAATTCCCCTGTTCTGAATATGGCCAATCAATGGCATCTCTAAGGCATCTAGAGGCAAGAGCTATGCAATTTCTGCTCATGCAGAATAATATTCCTAGCGTGGAAATTTCTGCTAATTAAAGCTCTTGCCAAGTAGAGTCTTTTTTCTTTTTTCTTTTTTTTCTTTTCTTCTTCCCTTCTTAAATAGCTTAAGTCAAAGCTTTGCAAGCCAGGACTTGGAGAAAGTCTCCTTATAGTTAGAACAATGCATTCAAGATTTTAAACTGCAGATCTAAGTTTTCTACTAAAATCATTGTGATATAAATGGTTTTACATATCCTTAATAACAGCTTATATGTGAAAAAGAAACCAAATGTTTTCTTATGGAATTAGTGATATCTTCACAAAGGAACTATTGTGACCTGTGCTTGTGTTTTGTTGTAGGAAATACACAGGAAATATACAAAAGGAGATATAGAGCACCAGGAGTAGGATCTATTCTTCTTGTTCTATGGTAAAATAAATTACTAACTCCCTTTAGGATTATATCTATGTATATTAAAATAATTTTGCCTGAGTCTTTTATTTTTAATAATAAAGTCAGTAGCAGGGATAATAAAGCTTAAAACTCCAGGGAAGTTAATGAAACATGAATTATTATTGAATTTGGGCTTCAGTCCAAATTTCTAGTTACTACTTATTGTAGGGCAGCTCATTCATTTTTCACTCAGAAAAATACCTTGCTATGTGTAATGCTACACAATTAACTAAGACCGTTCCTTAACTATATAACTTATTAATTAGAAGTTAGCAGAGTGAAATGCAGTGGTCTGCAGGTTCTCATTGAGTTTGGTGGCAGAACTCTACAAAGCCTTTTCACATTCCTTCCAAAATCACATAGTGTGACAAGGATGTTATATGGTCAGTGATGTATGGTTAGTAAAATGGGCTTTTGTATTTAGTTCAGTTTTCCTAAACAATAGTGAAATTATTTTAATACCCCAGAAAGAACAAAGACATAATGGTGTTTAGGTATTAGAGGAAGAAGAATGCTCAGAGCTGATCCAGAGTTCTGGAGGGCTCTTAATGTTGAGAGAAGAGTTTGGTATATCAGGCAGGGAAAGCTTTGCTTATTGTGGGCAGGGAAAGCTTTTCCTCTTAAGAAGCAGTTCTAATTCTCTCAGTCCATTTCATCAGCTCAAGAACAATTTCTCACCTTGGATTTCCATTCTGGATCCATGATCTCACATATACCAGTCTGTCACAAGAATAAACTTTCCCCCTGACAGTCTCCCCATCCTTCATCCTTAGTGACAAAAGTTTATTTTGTCTATCTTCCTAAGAAGCAAAAATTACTTCTATTCTCATCGCAACACACTATCAATGATCATCATTACAGAAACTAAGGAATTATGATGCACAGATGAAGTGTAATTTGTCCCACCCTACTGTAGATTTCCAAAATTTCTCATATGCTCTGTGATCTAGTGGTGTCTGTGGCTTTTCATTGGCTACAAGAAATCTCTTTCAACTGGCTAGATGTTCAGAAGATGAATTTCACTTCCCGAGGGTAGACTTCCCATTCCAGTTTCCCTGTTCAGCCCCAGGTTGGCATTTTGGAAGTCTGGGATTAGTTTCAGTTTCTCTTTACACAATTGGCCTGTACCAAGCATTGGCATATTTATAATTGCTTATCCCCATCAGTAATGGAAATGTTGTATCTATTGCTTTTCTTGTTTTATCCCACTGACAATTCAGGATCTTTTCTTCCGTATTGGAAGACTTTCAGAACATGTATTTTTGACAGGTCTCAGGAGTCAAAGATGTGTGTTTCTATCTTGAGGTCCAACATTTATGCTTGTAATGAGGATGCTATGGATTATCAGACATTTTCCATTCTGCTGCTACCCAGAAGTCACCAGCTTCTGTGGGACGATTTTCTCCATGCATAGGTTATCAAGTACAAAGGTATCACCTGGTATTTGCAGAAGTAGTAATTCTGTGATGTTACCACATACTTACGATGTTTTGGTTTGTTGGATTTGTTTGTTTGTTTGTTTGTTTGTTTTGTTTTTGTTACAGCAGGGACTTTCAACTTTTCAATGGCCCATGCACCACCATGTAGAGACATTTAGGAAAAAGATTTTTTTTCCTATTAAGAGAAGAAACTTTTCCAGTGGAAATTCTAGTGTTAACTCATGTCTGTTGAAAAACTGGTTCATCCAGGTTGGTTATTCTGCCTTTGAGCTCACCTGAACTGCAGTAGCTCTTGTTACTGTATGAGATCTCTTCTTACTGTGAGAGGACCACCACAAGTGCCTGGCCGTTGTGCTGCCTGGGATACCTTATGTCCATGGGAGAGGGAAGTTACAGACCGTGCAGAAGACTGAGAGCAGAAGGTAACCAGACCATTCAGATTGTGGCTGAAGCAAAAGTAGACGACTAAGGGAGGAAGAGGGGTGATGGTTCTGGTGGTTAAATCCATTTAGTGTTCAAAACCAATTTTAAGGAAATTATTCGAGCATCTCTAGGCACTTTAAGTTCCAGCCTGCAATGCCTAAGGCTTTGAATTCACAATCCTTTTAGCCAGTTTGTTTTCTAGGCAGCAAGGACTCTCACTGAGGTCAGCGTTCAATGCACGTTCAGAGTTCTGCCCGATGCACTCTGGCAGGATCCATAAATTGATGAGACACTCTAAACACTAGTGCTTGTCAAGAGAACGAGTGGGAATGGGCTATGGAATAACAGACCCGGCGAGGCGGCAGCGTGCCCTTGTATCCCCAGCAGCAGCGCTGGCATGGCCCGCCACCATCTGCATCTTCACACTCCTGTTTACAGTGGAGTTGGAAGGCCGTGGAGAGAGGCCGACAGGAAGGCAGCAGCAGCTGGGAGCCATCGGTGACCACAGCTGGTTTTGCAAGGATCTTCTTGCAGATGGAGCTGGGATGTGTCCGGGAATGTCGGGGTCCCAGTGCTGCTGCAGACAGAGGAGGATGTGCAGCGCCGATGGTGCGGGGGCCGCGCACACGGTGAGCCGGGTGCGGTGTCACGGACACGGGGACCAGCCGGGGACAGGCGTGTCCCCAAGGCAGTGCCAGCCCCTGGGACCCTGTCCTGCCCGTGGGGCGCGTTCCCAGCCAACAGCGCCGCCGGGAGGCCTCGGTGTCTCCAGCCCGAGCAGTCCCGACCTTCCCAGCCTTGGCTGAGCCTGGCCCATCCAGCCCCGGGTGCTCACAGCACTCCCCGCAGCTAAAGCAGCTGTACTGGGGATCCGTGCTTTCACAGCAGAGAACTCACAAGAATAATATTTTCACTAATTTCAGTGTTATTTTAATGTCAAATTTGTTGGGTTTTGTTGCTTTGCAGATTTAAATTCAGCTCATTTTTGTTTTGAACCACAGTATGTTTTTTTTTTGTTTTTTTTTTTTTTTTTTTTTTTTTTTTTTTTTTTTTTTTTTTTTTTTTTTTTTGTTTTTTTTTTTCCCCAAGAATAAGTTATTTACATGCTATTCCCATAAGGGGCAACCTTGCAATAATGAAGAAAAGCAACTGTGAGTGTAGTAAAGCCTGACTCAGATCAGTGGTGTCCCTTCCACAGGTGTAACTGAATATTGGTTTAGGTTTGGAAAGTATGAAGTACTGTGGGGCAGAAGATGCTGCACATATTTATGTGGAGGTGAACCTGCCCAGAGATAGTGAAGAGTGAAATGATTGCCTGGAGAACCCTAGTTCCTAAAAATCCTGTAGTTTTAGAAATGGAAAGGATTCTACTAATATAAAGGAATTTAATACTACATGACAGCTCTATTGTGACATTTACTCCTTGTAAAACCTTACCAAGCATCTGCTTTTGACCCAGATACACTAAATCTATATTAAATTCTAAACTCTTCCTAGTCTATGTGAGATGCCAAAACATTTCCATAACTGGTTCTACTTGTCTACAAGGTCTTTGTTCCACCATCAGACACATGGGAATGTGTGCCCTTGCTATTGCAGTTGTGTAGATCCGTGCTGTCATTTTCCCGTCAACCCTCCTAATACTGTAAGCTGTAGATTTTTTGGTGTATTCTTTCCCTGGGCAGGTGTTCAGAATGAGAAGATGTCTTCTTCAGGACAGAGGACAAGCGTTGGCAGGTTTCCAGTTTCCAGGTGCGTTTTTTTTTTTTTTTTTTTTAAAGCCAAAAATCTTCTGCAGCAAACACATAGATCCAGGCAAAAGAGTAAATGCTGCACATGTTATTTTGATCATTTTTCCAACATCCCCCTTAGATTTTTTTTCATGTATCAGACTATTTTTACAGGAGTACAGGATGCTTTTGTGGTGTTGCTCTAAGTGGCCATGATGGTTGGAATCAAGGAAAGATCTGAGGCTAAAGGTAGTGGTAGTGTTTTGTATTAGATAACTAGCATAGGCAGACTGAAAGGTGTATTTTTTATTTTTTCACCCATATTTATGGGTCTAATGAGAGCTATTTTTCTCTGTCTGCCTTGCTTCTGAATCCATAAAGTCTCTTCTTTTGTTTCTCTTGTAAGCAGTTACTTTCCTCTTCAGGTAATTCAACAATGCAGAATTTATTTCTCCATCTATATCCATTTTTTCGTATTTCCTTGATCTACCTGTCTCTTAGTTCTTATATTCAGCATTTTTGAGGGGAGAGACCAACACCTCTCACCTTTTTCTGAGAAAATCCCATTCTGTCCTGCAGCCTCCAGAAGAAATGTGCATGTGTGGATGAGTGCAGAACACTACTTCTTGAGGGTTGCACCACTTGAAAGAGTTATTTAGGTTATCATCTCATATTATATTCAATATGCTCAAAAAAAACCCAACAACCAACACAGAAAGTATACCAGAGCTTAAATGTGGGGTTTTTATTCTGATTTCCGTGGACATAAATCCTGATGGTAAACAGAATTCACACATTGTGTGAAACTGACTCCACAGATGAGTGCTGTGTGTTTGGGTCCATGTAGGTATTTTGTTTGTTGTAAAAGAATGCTAAGGAGATGTTTTCTGCTTTTCTGTTATACTAAGTTGCAGACCAAAATTTAATGTCAGTATATTAACTTTGGAGTTGCACCCAAGATAAGTTTGGCCCCGTCAGTTGTTAAATTCTTGCTATGATTGATCTCAGCTTGCTTAGAAAGGGAGCATGCCAGATTACTAACCACAGAAAGCATCAACTGAAACTCCACCAAAATTCTCATTCCCTGTAAATTGAAAAATGAAGCTTTGAAATAAGATGCTTTGTTCATCAATCTCACACTAATTTTTCATTAATATTATATAACTCTCAAACTATTAGGAAGATGATAATTAGGACAGTTTGAAGTATCTGTGTGGAGAAAAATAAGAATATCATTCTAAGTAAGTTACAGTGCTAGTTCTTGGCATTTTGTGGCATCTAATCTATGATAGTCTCAGTTGTAAATTTCATTGCCTTTCACCCTCATATATCATAGATGTACACAGATATAAATAAAATGAGGCCAATTCTTGACAGATTTCTTATATGAATCTAAAACCATCTATCACAGAATCATAGGATATTTTGGGTTGAACACACCTTTAAGTTCCTATCTGTAGGAAGGAAATAATAGGAACACTTGTCCAGCTCTTCCTTCCAAACTCTATGCAGAGGGAGTTTTTTCCACAGGAAGAAGAAATACCAGAAATTCCATAAGACTCAGAACTGATTTATAGCAAATTAATGAAAAAAAGCTTGTAGATAAATATTGGAGCAGAAGAATCATGATACTAACACTAGATTTTTTTTTTTCAATACTGAGAGGTATAATTGTATATGACTTCAATACATTTCTTCTCTGAAAAGTTATTTTTCTAATGTAACTTTTAGTTTATCAGGACATTGGGGGAAAAAAGGAACAGATACTTAAAAATCTGCCATCAGTAATTGGTGGGTGAGTCAATACTGGATTAAAAGGATGCTGATGTAATGGCATGCTAATTCATTCATTCATCTATAATGGCATTGTACATTCATGCTTTTTTACATGCTAGTGATTTCCACATCAAATATCTATTTCCACTTTGTATACCAGCACCAGTAAATTTCTGTAAGCTAACAGTACTGAATTCCTGGTGGGGATAGGTAGGGCATAATTTATTAACTCATGCTAATATGATATTAGTCATATCAATATGATTTTCAAATAGCCATAATGTGTCATATCCTAACAAGTATAGGCATATAACCCATAATATGTTTTAAATTTTTTTTATCTCTAATATTCAAAAATAAGAAATGAAGGGAACAAGTTTGTGACAGCAGCTCTCTGGCCACAGAGAGCAAAACACAACTTTCTCAGGCCTTTCTAGGGAAGGCTGTGAGAAGATCAGAGTAAAGAATGATAAACAATTATTGTCCTCACTTCCTACACCCGTTGTTGTGAACATGTAGAATGTGTTATGGAGATTTGTTTGCCAAAGGGTGGTTTCTTAATTCATGAATAGTGATACTGTTTAGATTAGAGGACCAATTAGGTCCAAGTATACCATAACTGTCTGTAAAAAGCAATGGATTTCTTAATAACTAATATAATAAAAAAAATTGATCAACCTTCTATAAATCATAGAATCAATACTAATTATTACCAGTTTGGGGACGCCCTGCCATGACACCAGTTATTTAACTTGAAGTTACTAATTTTTAAAGGCAAAGCTAGGATGAAAATACCTCATGCATGAATAATGTTCATCATTTTTTGTGGTATTTTGGTCCTATATTCCAAATTTTATTAGGTTCATAAGAACATAATGCCTGTGAAATTTCATAAATACAATGTTTTCAGGAGCAGCATGGCATAGCTGTGTCAAATCTGCTAATTTCCTGTCACTGAGGTTTATGGAACCTTTTCCCTGAAAGACCCTGAAGCTCTAGAAGAGATGTGTGGTCTTAGAGGCTGGAGCTTCTCATGGGCATGAAAGATAAACTTCTGTGATTAAGGGTGAGGTAAAATTGAACTTTCTGTGGGACAGGAGCATGGAATGGATAACCTGGTGTTCTGCCCAGCCCTATTTCTTCTGTATTTAATTTCTGAAAATGGACAAATTTAGTCTTATCCAGCCTTGGATTTATAAAGCAAAAGGGTGATACATACCAGTCTGGCAAGTGAACCCTGACAAAGCTGTTTGCAAAGAAGTGAATTTATAAAGTAAATTCTTGTTTCAGTGTTTCTTACTGTAATAAGATGGTAGCAGTAGCAATTACAGACACTTCATGTGTGGTGTGATAGTGCCCAACAGAGTCACATCAAGTACTTTGTAAACTCTAGACTTTCAGTAAGATCTGTATCTCCTGGTGCAGAGTTATCACCGTGTTACTTTAAGAAAGATGTGAGCAGTTCTGCTGATCAAATAAAATGTTAAATCTGATTTTAGATCTTCATCTGGCTTGATCTTTCACCATGACCTTCTCCAGAAGGATTCTGAAGAACAAATTACTTGCATGAAAAACGACTAAATTTATTAACAGTTCTACAGTAAATTAAATACCTTGTTTAAAATATTATGTAAGTAATTTCTGATTGTGAGTGACAGTCTTATGGACCCTTTCCTCACATCTTCCCATCAGGTAGGTATCAGATTTACCTAATTAGTTCAAAATCAGTTCAATAAAGTATTAGCTGCAGTTGTTCAGCAGCACAACTCCTTCAGGGGATTTCAGGAGATGCAGATTCCTTCAGTGCCATTTCAAACAGTAGAAGGAACTCTTTGCTTAATGAAGGGATACTGAAGCCCTCATCAGCTTTTGCTAGATGCATTTTCAAGGTGTGGCACAGTTTCTTTTGTGAAAAAAAAAGACCACATATAGTGACTTACTGGTTTTCTCTTTGTTTGTTTTATATAGCAGCTTCCAACAAATAAGAATGTTCCATACCCAGAAAAATACTTTAATTTCTTTATTAATATTTTAAAGTATTTTAAAGACCAATGGAAGACATATTTGAACTCTGTTGCTCAGTATACCATTGTGTGGCATTGGTGAGACAGCACAACCTGCATAGGTTAGAAGATATATTCTAGACCTTTATTATGAGCATCTTAGTGTCTCCCAGAGCCTCCCTAGAGAAACAGACATTAGCTAATAAAGTATCAAGATGGGCAAGGATGACTGCAACATGCTTCTGGCTTCACCAAGGTCTAACCTCTGTGGTTTTGCTCAGTGAGACAGATGTAAAGCAGTGAGGCAATATATTCTGAAATTGGAAAGGGCTGCAGCAGGCAGTAAAAGTTTGTAGTCAAACAAAGCTCTAAGTTTCTACTTTGTGTTTTTGGTGGGTCAGGCTCCTTCCACAGGAGCTGAAAGCAGCCATGGTGCCACAATGTCCCAGAGCTGGGAGTCAGAGATGTAGTAAAGTGGCTCAGCAGGGTTCTCTGGAGCAGAGGCAGCTTCCAGCAGCCCTATCTTTAGTGAGGAGTGTCAAGTTTTATGAGCATTGTTACATTTTTATAGTTTAATGGCTTTTACTATTAAAATATAACAAAGCATGTTAAAAATTTGCCGTGGCTCAATTCCACAATCAGTAGCAATTCCTTGCTATCTGCAGCATGGGCTCCTAGGAAATATTGAATAACAAAGACTATCTTAATACAACTTTCTTATCCACTTTCATCATCCTGGCACCTTTCTAGTTAATCACAGTTTTGATTTGAGACATATTTTATTCAGCTTCAAAGCTCCCAGCACAGTGTCTGGACTGGAATGGACACTTATGGGTTGACTTCTTCAGGAAAAGAAGATAGTTTGTATAGAAAAGAAGGTAGTTGGTATAAATACTGCAGAAGAGAGATCTGATTAGATCAGTTCTGAGAGATCTGAGATTAGAAAATGTGTTTTGAATGACACTGTCATAGAAATTAAGGAGCACTGGATTAAAGAGTAGGGTGAAGAGTTGCAGTAAAGAAGCAGTAAAAAAAAGAATGCAGTAAAAAAAGCAACTATGACTAGTTGCCAACACTGAAAGTTTGACAGAATGGAGAATGGCATATTAGTTTTAAAATGCAGTGCTGGTATATTCAGGTGTAAGAACACAAAGGTAGATGCAGACTGCAGTGCAAATGAAATTTAGTGGGGCAGCAGAATTTGCTCTGTCTGCAGGCCTTGAGATCTATAAATCACTAAATC